TGCCCATGACTACATATTCCCTAACATGGACATTGGGGGAATATATGACCATTGGGCATGTGGGGGTCCCATATCTACCTGCTGTAGAATTTGCTCAGAACTGGTTCAACTTGAGTACATTAGGATGTCCTACGGGAGAGAATTAGATTCTGTTTACATCAAACTCTTACCCAGGGATGACCCTGAATGATGGGATGAGTAACTGTGTGAAAGACATCTTCCCAGCAGGCAGAGCTCCATGGACCTACATCCAGTCATCTGCAGTGTGAAAGGTCAAACTGTGTATAGATTATCGGACAGTAAGGAGAGGTCAGGAGCCCGGAAAGAGAAAAATTAGAATATTAGAAGCAAGAGTGAGGTACAAGGACATGAGAATGACACAAGGCATGACTGGTTTTCAAAACCACACTAATGCCCTCTAGAAGGCACCCCACTGCAAGGGCATCACATAGCCAAACTAGCCCAACTGGCTGATGTTCATTGTCATGATAAGCAAGTGAGTGACCACAGTGACAGACACAGAGTTTGTGTATGGTTTGGAAAAGGTGGGCTGCGCCAGGCATGGTGGTGCCTGCATTTAATATCAGCTTTTGGGAGCTAGAGGCAGGCACAGCTACCCAGTAAGTTTCCGGCCTGATAGGCCTACAGAATTACATAGTTAGGTCCTGATCTCCTCTCTCCTGCCTCACCAAAGTGCGTGTAGGGAAAAACAAGGATCCACGATTTCCCCACCTACTGACACTGACCTAATGAGCCTCATCAGATGGTTCACCTTGTCAGCAAAAGAAGACAGTGCTGAGCCCCTGGGTAACACAAACACTATTGCTTGAGAAGTTTGTACTTGGAAGAAAGTAGACTGTTACATGAGATCCCTTTCCTTTATTTGGGAAGGGATTTCCTTTTTTTCTCATAGGAATAGATGTTTTATCTGAGTACGGATTTGCCTTTCCTGCCCCCAGAGTCTTAGCCAGCACCATTATCAAACCACTCATACTATCTGTGGTCTACAGATCCAACACATCATAGGATCCAAACAGAGGACCCTCTTTACTGATGCATTATAAACTGCCTTCTCTAGAAGTCGCTGGGTAAGTACAGCATCGGCTTGGTACGTTGAGGGCACAATGAAAGTACTGGCTCGAGGCAATGTCCTGAAAGGATGGACATGCAACCCTCTAGGTCATGATGTAGACAATGAATTAGAGACATTTATAAGGCATTATATCCCCAGTAGGTGGAGTGCATGAATCTGAGAACCAAGAGGAAGAAGCAAGAATGTACTCATTCCCTACTCTTGGAGACTCCCAGGAGTGACCACAGTTCTGGATTCTGCATGGTCAGGGATTTAGTTTTGCCAGGGACATAGCAATGGTCCCACTGAACTGTAAGGCAATATCTTCACTGGATATTTTGAGTTCTGTTAACCAGAGCAAGACAAAGAATTAGTGGCTCATAAGAGCTCATTGACTATGAGCAGCAGGAGGCAAGAGATTGATGGGAGCAAGAAGGAAAGCATACAGAACTCGAGTGATGGACTAGAGGGCCTGACCTGATAGACTTTTTGTTTGTTTTGTTTTGTAAGACAGCATCTCTTGTAGCTTACTTAGACTGGCCTCAAATTCCCTATGTAGTTGAGGCTGACCTGAAACTCCTGATCCACCTACTAAATGCTAAGATTACAGGCACATGTCACCATGCCTGCTTAATTATAACATGTATGATGATATAATAATCGTGATGATATATGATATATGAGATATATGAGTAAAATTACCAGGATTCAGACCTCACAAAGAGGAGGATTTGGGACATAGTACCAGGTGAGCAACTGTTGTTATCAGGGACAAAGGGGGTGGGGGTGGGGCTCTGTTATGCAGAATGGAGGAGATAGTAAGTTAGGTATGTCCATGAAAGCAACTGAAGTCATTGAGTCTGTAATTACTCCCTCTTCTATGTTTTTCCTCAAAAAAAGAGGCTTACTGCAGCCCTGGAAGAGCAGCTCCCAGATGGCTCACAGGGCAAACTGTCATGTGATTCATATGAAGATGTGTGAATTAAATCCTTTAAATCTCAGTGCTTGGGAGGCAAGTGGATTTCTGTGAGTTAGTGGCTAGCCTGGTCTATATGGTGGGTTCCAGCCTGGCCAAGGCTACACAGTGAGACTACACAGGGCTACCCTATCTCAATAATAAAGAAAGAAAGAATGGAAGACCCACTCCCTCACAGCTACTGGCTGAATATATGGTGGTTCACATCCATAAATAATCTCAGGAAGGTTGAGGTAGGAGGTGGGTGAGTTCAAGACCAGTCTCAGCTAAATAGTAACTAAGCAACAACAACAAAGTTGACTTCAGCTATAAGGAGTCACAAATCCACAGTACTCAGCAGTTAGGGTCATCTTCTGAGTCAATTTCAAGTTTTGATCTCACGCTTTTCTCAGGATGTTCCTCTGCCAATAATCAAACAAGGCTTAACATTTCCATCAGAGTTGGAGCCCCTGAAAGACACAATCTTTGTCCTGGAGTTCGACAAACTTTGTTAGGTAAGGTGCTAAGTCCCGCTTCAGCCTCTTGTCTTTCACAAATATTAAAATCCAGGCCCCTGGCCACCCCTAGCCTTTATATCCTAGTTTCTTTTTAGGGTCTGTTTCTGGGAAAATCCACTAGGGCTGTTAGAGGGTTTAGAGCCTGCTCCCTTAACTTGTCAGTCACTCCCCACCCTTGGGACTGATCCCAGCTGACCAGAGCTCCTGTTTTCTCACATGCAAAGTGAAAGTTACTCATTCCTTTCATACCCACATCGCACTGCACTGTGGGGATGGATATACTGTGTGCGGAAATGCCACGATTCTTAAAACACAATTAAACTGCTCGAGTTTCTATTAAAAGGCCTAAAGTGTTAAAGTATTTCCCAGATTACCAAACGATCCTCAATAGTTTCCAAGCCTTTTCAAAGTTAGTATTGTACATGGTTTCCCCCCTGTGGTTTTACTTATTCCCAGGGAGTGATTTACACACTTGACAATCAGATATAGAGCTAAATAAAGAATTCTAGAGCACTACAGTAACCTGTCATGGGAATTTGGTTTGTTTCTTTTCATTTCTAGGAGGACAATGACTAAGACAGAGGAAACTTGAAACATTGAGACTTGCCTTTTGGGAAAGCACAGTGGCAGGCGTGTTAGGAGAAATACGTAACACCTGGGCAACCATGAGCCCCAGTGCCCCTTGCTGCTTTGTGATAAGACGCAATTTTACAGCTGTAGGTAAATATTACAATTTACAAGTGTGCATAAATGTTCTGTGTGAGACAGGACTTAACTGTAGCTCAGGCTGGCTATAGAAGGCAATCCTCCTGCACCAGCCTCCCAAATGGTGGGATTGCAGGTATGAACCACCAAGCCTGGCATAGATTTCTATTAAACATACTTAGCTTGCATTCTCCAGATTCACACTTACATGTAAACTGTATTGAATAAAGACAGCTAGTGATCATGTCAGTAACTGTCCCAGAAAAAAAAAAAAAAAACTTAGCAGTTATCTTTTTTTATCAAGATGAAGTTTTCTACAATATAACATATTATAGGCCACCACACCCAAACCCCTTTCAGTATTCCCAACAGTATGCTTTTGATTTGCATGGGAGAGCTACCCCAAATGCACATACAAACTTTGAAAATATACCATTTAATACAAAGTATGTGCCATGTCAAAGTAATTTTCAACTTGTTCTGCAGATCTTCCTTTGAGTGCCTTCCCCCCCCCCCCCCCCCGCCCCAAATCTGGGACAAGGTATGAGTTTCAAAGCAAAAGTGTTAAGGTTTAAAATGTTCAGCCAAGTAAAGGCTCTAAAACTTCTGACTATTAATTTAGATGTCAGGACAATACAAATCTGAGTATAGCTGACAATGTGAGGGTAACCAGACATTTTTATACAACTTTTAGAACTGTGGCTTAAATTAAAACAACTAATTTTTATTCATACAGATGACTTGAATATTGACAGGAAAGATAACGTCGATAATACAAACTGAATTATAAACTTACTAGGTAATGTCAGGAATGTTTCAACGTAGTTTCGTATGAATAATTAGATCTTAATGACTTGTTTTTGAAATAAGGTCTTTTGTAGCTGGGGCTGGATGGCCTTGAATTCCAGGATCCTGCGAGAATACTGAACAAGTATTGGGATTATGGTCATGTACTGCTATGCTGGGCTGATAAAACTTTTTGTTGTTCGAGCTCTCTGGGAACTCGAGATAACTGAATACAACTTCAAAATACAACTTCAAAAGGGCTTTAAGCCCAGTGTCTCCTCAAAGATGTTTTCGTAGCAGTACACAATTATGAAAGCAGAGGCAAATAACAAAAGATGGACAGCTATATTAAGACAGATGTTCACGCATGGCTGAATTTTTCTATTGTTCTAGGTCCCACTGAATTGTCTTCAGGACACTTGTCTATCTTAAATTTTGTATCAAAGATGTGAGGGAAGAAGCGAACCGATTCCTTCAGGGTTAAGGGAGGCCAATGTACACGTGAGGGACCGTGGAAAAAGTCTCAGCGTCCCTCTCGTTTTTGCTCCCCCAAGGCCACCTGTGTGCATCTCGGGACACAACAGCCTGACCTTTGGCAATAATAACTCTACAGCCTGCAGCCACTAGCTGCGGGCCAGGGAGGAGGAGGCTTGGCTCGGGCCAGGAGCGCGGCGGCGCGCAGGCGCTGCTGAGGGACGCGGAGGGGGCGGGGCGCCGCCTCGCGGGCAAGACGCGCGCCGCCGCCGCCGCCGCCGCGTCAGCAGCGTGCCGCACGTGCCCGTGTTTACGTCCCTCGTGGAGCCGCCGACGTCACAGCCGAATGGCAACATTGTGGCGATGCTGAGACGCCGACTTTAGGAGTCTGGTCTCGGGTTCCGGCCGGCTCGGCGCGGTCGGCGGGAGGCAGAGCGGCGGCGGCGGCGGCGAGGCCGGGCCCAGCGAGCGGCGGACGGGACGCGCGCATCACGCAGCCCCGCGGCCTGGCGCAGGCCGGCCCGGCGGCCCAGGGCCCCGCAGTGCCGCAGCGAGCGGCTTGTAAACAGATCCGGCCGCACGTGACCATGTGAACTACCTGCTCGGGGCCGCGTATTGTCTCTTCAGAGGATCGCACCACAAAGGAGCCGCTCGGTGGGAGAGCGGCCGTAGCGCTAAGATGGCTGAAGGCGCCCGGCGAGGGTGAGCCGGGGGCGCGGCCACGGCGGGGACTCGGCCGGGCGGCCCCCCTCGGCCGGGAACTGGAGCTACCATGTCGTTCGCGCTGGAGGAGACGCTCGAGTCCGACTGGGTGGCGGTGCGGCCCCATGTATTCGACGAGCGCGAGAAGCACAAGTTCGTGTTCATTGTGGCCTGGAACGAGATCGAAGGCAAGTTTGCCATAACCTGCCACAACCGGACGGCCCAGAGGCAGAGGAGCGGTTCCCGGGAACAGGCGGGCACTCCCGCGCCTGACGGGAGCCGCGGGCCCGGCAGCCCGGCGACCAGGGGTCGGCCCGAGGCCGCTACCTCTGCCACGGCGCTCCGGAGCCCCGGGCCGCGGAAGAGCCCGGCCTGGGCCGAGGGTGGCTCTCCGCGCAGGGCGCGCAGCGCGAGAGGGGATCCCGTCCGGGGTCCGGCGGGCAAAGGACCCGAGAGTCCCCTCCGGAGCCCCGCGCGGGCCAAGGCCAGCCCGCTCCGCAGAAGCGCGGAGTCCCGACATGCGGCCGCCGTTGCCCCGCCGGCGCCCCGGGTGTCGTCGGTGCGGGTGGTGAGTGCCTCCGGGGCGGTCTCCGAGGAGATCGAGGTGCTGGAAATGGTGAGGGAGGACGAGGCGCCACCGCCGCTCCCCGACTCGGAGCCGCCGCCGCCCGCCGCGGAGCTGGAGTCCCCGGCTGAAGAGTGCAGCTGGGCCGGGCTCTTCTCCTTCCAGGATCTGCGGGCCGTGCACCAGCAGCTGTGCTCCGTGAACTCCCAGCTAGAACCGTGTCTGCCGGTGTTCCCCGAAGAGCCGTCCGGCATGTGGACGGTGCTGTTCGGGGGCGCCCCGGAGATGACCGAGCAGGAGATCGACGCTCTGTGTTACCAGCTGCAGGTCTACCTGGGCCACGGCCTGGACACGTGCGGCTGGAAGATCCTCTCCCAGGTGCTTTTCACCGAGACCGATGACCCCGAGGAGTATTACGAGAGCCTCAGCGAGCTGAGGCAGAAGGGTTACGAAGAGGTGCTTCAGCGAGCAAGGAAGCGCATCCAGGAGGTGAGTGTCTAGTCCCAGCCGCCGTCCTGGTTTGGTGTCTGTCAAGTGCTGGAGCTTCGGTTTGGGATGTGCGCAGGGCAGGGGTTCCGCAGCCGGCTTTCTTTATCTCAGCGAAGGACTTTTGGAAAGTCTTTAGGGTTTCTTTTTCCCGTTTTTTTTTTTTTTTTTTGTTTTTTTTGTTTTGTTTTTCCTCCAGTTTATAGAGGCAGAGATGCAATCATTTAGGAAAATAGGTGTTCTGTAAACTTGAACTAAAGGGATGCTACTCTGTCCCTAAGCCGACAATAACTTGCCCAGACATCAGCTGTTCTTTCCAGGTGTCATGCTTATGTATTCAAAATCGTTGTCTTATGGAACAACGTTGATCTCCTTTTTTGTTCCTCTTGTACGTGGGTATGAAAGTTTACCTTTCTGTGTTTTTTAGTGCTGAAGGTGTACCCCTGAGCTGCACTCCAGCCCTAAATTTATAAGTTTGTTGACTTGTCCAAATGACAACTGACACAAATTTTCAGACTTATCAAGCCTTTACAGATGGCTCAAGTTTCACTCCTGTTTTAGGGAGAAGGAAGGTCATGGGCAGGAATGCTCATTATGCTTTTTTGTTTGTTTGCTTGTTCTGCTTCTTGTTTTTCCAAGACAGGTTTTCTCATGGCTGTCTTGGACTTGATTTGTAGATCAGGCTGGCTCAAACTCACTGAGATGATCCTGCCTCTGCCTCCCAAGCGCTGGGATTAAAGGCGTGTGTCAACATCTCATGTATGCTTTTGTTTGTAGTGTGCAAACTTGTCCATACTCTTTTAATTCTTTAAATGACAGGAATAAGGGCAAGGGGGGAGTTTTCCTGAAAGCCGTATATATGAGCTCTGCAAGGTATGTTACAAAGTTATGCCTCCTTACCAGCTTCTGTTGAAACTTATTTAAAAGTAAATTAATATCTTCATCTAATGAACAATATGTGCAGTTTTTCAAAGTAAATTACTATTTTAATGTCATTATATAGCATGGTTGGATTTGGGATGGAGAAAAACTCCTTTTCATGGGTTTTTATTCCTGACTTGGGTGTTTGGGGTGTGTGTGTGTATGTGATCTGCTATTAGGCATTCTGGGTTTCTCCATAGAATATTAGGTGTTTCTCTTTTCTAGACCTAAGTATTTAGGATACACTTGTTTCTTGTTTATGTCACACACAGTATATTTACAACTTCCTTAACCAAGATACTATACTAGTAGTTGCCTGCCTTCAGTCCCAGGATTTGGGACTCACTCTGGAGGCAGGGGAAGGTAGATCTTTGTGAGTTGAGGCCAGCTTGGTGTGAATAGTGAGTTCTAGGAAGCCAGAAACACTTAGTGACACCTTGTCTTGAAAAAAAAAAAAAAGATTCTTTACTCCTTTTTGTTTACTGTATGGTAAACATCACCCATAATAATCTGATCCTAGAAGTTCATGAGAAGCTGGGCGGTGGTGGTGCACACCTTTAATCCCAATGCTCAGGAGGCAGAGGCAGGCACAGGTGGATTTCTGTGAGTTCAAGGCCAGCCTAGTCTACAGAGTGAGTGCCAGAACAGGCTCCAAAACTATACTGAGAAACAAAGTTCAAGGGATCTGTTTTCATTACCCATTTATTATCTCACTCCTGGAGACTTCTACCTTGATGTCTTTTTGGACAGAAGTGACAAGTATGATAATTCTTTCTAGTGTTCATGTTAACCTATGTTTCTTTAAAGCTTCTAAAACATTTTATTACTCAGCTATGTATGTGTATGTATGCTAGTTTCTCAAACTAGAAATTATAGTGTTTTCCAAACTAGAAGCTTTTTAATCTCTAGAGATGTCTGCTTCCAACTTTAGTGATATTCAAAGGTGGCTAAAAAAAATGGTTATCTTTGCTTTTAAATTCAAATGGGTCAAAAGTGAGCTTTCAAAAATCTTAGTTTTATAGAACTCAATTTTGAGTTTTTTTCCCAAAAAGAACACATTTTAAAAATTTTAGTTAGAATGCTATTAACTAATTTTTTTGTTTTTCAAGACAGGGTTTCTTAGTATAGCTTTGGAGCCCATTCTGGAACTGGCTTTGTAGAGCATGCTGGCCTCAAACTCGGAGGTCTGCCTGCCTCTGCCTCCTGAGTGCTGGGATCTAAGATGTTCAGCATCATTGCCCTGCTTATTTTATTCTCTTTAAGGTGCTTTTAATTTCTTTTTGTAATTTTTATTTATTTTCTTTGAAACAAGGCTGTTTTACATGTCAATCCCAGTTCCCTCACCCTCCAGTCCTCCCCTTCCATCCCCACCAAACCCTAACCCATCCTCTTTCTGCTCCTCAAGGAGGGTGAGATCTTCCATGGAAGATCTTCAGAGTCTGTCATCATTTGGGGCAGGGCCTAGGCCCTCCCCCATGTGTCTAGGCAGAGAAAGTATCTGGCCAAAGTGGCTTGGAAATGTACCAATATGTAGCTCAAGTTGACCTCCAACTCTTGATCTTCCTGACTCAACCTCTGAGTGCTGGGATTACAGGTGTGAACCACCACATCTGACAGCTTTATTCTTGTTATTCAGTAGAGGAACAAAAGAAAGTACTTTTTAAAGTCTGTTTCCTTGGGAAACAAAATATTTATTATAAATTCATAAACAACAAATATGTAAGTTTTTGGCTTTTCCTGAAGTTTACTTGAATAGGAATACCTCTCAATGATAACAAAAAGTTTGTAATATCTATCCTGAATTATACTGGAAAATTGAATGTGGAGACTAGTTAAGAGATGTCTGCCATGGGCATGATGGAATGGAGCAAAACTACTTCTAAGTAACTTATTTAGGTTGGTAATATGTTCTGCAGCTTAGATTCTTTTCTGTATTAGTAGTTTGCTCTTTGGGGTGGCAGTGTGTGGGGGGTGGTTTGTGTTATGCTAAGCAAGTACTCTACCACAGAGCTGTAATATGTCATCCCTTGATATAACACTTGGTTGGTGAAACAGAACTCTAGTCCAGGCTGGTCTTGAACAGCACAGATTTCCCTTGAGCACAGTGTCTCATATTAGCCTCTCTTGTCACTGAGTGATTGGCATGCACCATGTTTACTCTTCTTTTTAAAGGTAAAATCTTTTGTAGCAATTGTATCTATCACTTGTATTAGTTCTTCTGTTGCGTTTATTTTTATTCTACTTGATTTAGTGTTGCCTTCCTTATCTCAACCAACATAGCTTATGGAATTGAACACATTTTTTTATGCTGGATTTTTCTGGTAAATCACATGTTTTAAGAGATAATACTTTGAACATGTAATTCTTGTTCATGTTTTTCCTTTAATTTCCTTCAAGTTATGCTACCCCTATAGCATGACTTTTTCCTAGCTATAAAGTCCTTACTTGTTTTTGTTCAGGATGATCAGTGAATTGCTTAAGGGAGGTTTTATCCTCAGGGCATTCAAATACAGGGTCTTGTAAATAAATGCTTGGCCAAACCTTTCCCAGAGCCACATCTCCAGCCCTCCACTTTAAAAAAAAAAAAAAAAAAAAAAAAAAAAAGTGTAGGTGGGCTATGGTGGCACAAGCCTTTAATCCAGTACTTAGGAGGCAATAGCAGGTGGATCTGTGAGTTCCAGGCCAGCCTGGAGGATAGAGTGAATTCCAGGACAGTCAAGGCTGTTACATAGAGAAAACCTATCTCAAAAAACCAAACAGAAAAACGTGTAAAACAACATTGTATCAAAGGTTACTGACCTTGACACAGTTGAATTCTCTGTTTTGCCACCACCTAGTTCAGAGCACTCAATATTAGTGGATAAAGCATATCCATTTAATATAAAATTGTAGGTAAATACAATTTTTATAAGTTGATAAATGTATATTCTTAGGAAAGATACTTTAAATATTAAAATTCTCTTAACATTGTTAGATTTTAGATTTTTGAGGCTGGCCTCAGATTTATGATCCTTCTCCCTTAGCCTCCTGACAGGGAGAATGTGGGGGGGTCCCAGTTCCTGGCTTATTAACTTTTAAACACCAAAAAGGTATGGGGGCTGGAAGCCTGGTTTATGAGGTGCTTGCCTGACATGAAACCCTGGTTTCATTCCCCAGCACTGGAACCCTAGTGTAGTATCCCTTGCCTGCAGCACTTCTGAGGTAGGGGCTGGAGCAAGGGCAAGTTGAAGCCAACCTGGAACGCGTGAGACCTTGCTTCAAACAAAAAATCAACACCTAGAACAAAAACCATTATTGCAAATTATTGGTTGTTATGGAAGGTTGTGACACTTGGAGTTTTAATATTTGCAACACCCTTAAGGTTTAATATGGGTTACCAGGCCTTTAGTGTCATCCAACTCAGGAGGCCAAGGTGGGACAGTCACAAGCTTAAGACTTGCCTAGGTGAATTTAAGTGGAATCCTATCAAAAATAAATAAATAAATAAATAAATAAATAAAGAGCTGGAGGGGAGATAGGTCAATGGTAGAGCACTTGCCTACTGTGGGTGAGACCTTAGGTTAATCCCTAGTACTGCAAAAAGAAAAAAAAAAAAAAAAAAAAAAAAAAAAAGGGAAAGAAAAATTGGTATGGGGGAGCTTAAGAAGCCCTCACATGTCTATTATCACACCTGGACATTACAGTTCATGAGGCTTTACAGGCTATACAATAATACAATATTATTTTTAAATGACAAATGTATTCTAAGATTATATACTAAAAGCTTCAGTCTAAATAAAATGTAGTATTTGTTATTTGTAATTTTGTCTTGGACTTTTTACATGGGCTTATTGTGGTATCTACTATTTATACTGTAGGTAGGCAGTTTTTATATGAATACAGGTACCACCAAGGCCTCTTTGAACAGTGTAGTAGTACTAAGGTTTGTATTACTGTGTGTGCACATAGGTAGCTTGAAACTTAACTTGGACCTGGATTTTCAAGTAATGGTTTCTTGTATAATCATAGCTATTTTTCAGGTGGTTGATTTGGGCATTTTAGCTCAAACCTCGATTATGATAGAGGCTTATTTAACGTCTAAA